CCCCAAAACCCCAAAACCCCAAAACCCCAAAACCCCACTCTGAATCTAAAATATTGAATTCTAATTATATTAACAATGCTACTTTAGAAAATGGTAGATTAAGTCAGACAAAAAGCTACTAGTTTAGAACTTAAGTAAAATTAATAATTCTTAGCCATTAAATAATGATCTCCTTTTGGCCCGATAATCTGTTATTGACTCTTGTTATGATGATCGAGGTGTGGATTAGCGATTAGGAAATTCGTCTTCTTGAAGAGAGGGAATACTATTATGTCATCGGAATCGATAAATATTCTCTGAGAACTAACCTCACCAGATTTCTTCAAACTTTGGGGTAAATGGCGTGTGAGTATGCCTACATCCTCTAATGGCATTCTATATTCAATAGTTAATGAACTGAAAAAAATTCACCTGCATAAATTGTAAATAATCCTAAAATTAAGAGACTGAGATTAGAAATTTTCATATAAACCTATATGATTTGATAAATCTCTTAATAAGTTTAGTCCAGTAGTGATTTTAGAAAATACTCGAAAATATGCATAATTGCATTTATTCAGGAGTAAACTTGAAATATAGAGCCATATACAAATATCTCCTATAACTCAGTAATTTTATATAAAAATAGGATTTTTTTTGCTTAAAATAGGAAAGAAGGAATTTAGGAAGGCTATGAAATATCCAAGGAATAAGATAGCCTATGAATTAGCTGGCCGCTTATGTCCCTGTGGGTACAAATATAGGAGTAATCAGACAGTTAGAGTATTTAAAAAGAGGTCTAGCCAATGATGCGTAAAATCTTATAATAGGTTTTATTCACACAATTATGAAATTTCGGAACTAGATTATGAAGAAAAGAGAATCATAAATATATTAAAAAAATAAGATTTCTCAAGCTTACTTAGTTTTATCTAAAATTTCAGACTTCTCTTTGTCCATATTTACGCTCTGATGACTCTTCTTGACCTTAACTTTTCTGGAAGAAGGAAGTATTATCTTTCTCTTCTTTAAGTAGCAAGAGTATGCAATCTGGCAAATCAGATTAACGATACTGATCACAAGTACCATCATTGTGTTGCTAATAATTGAGTTATTCAAGAGTGTTTCCACAAAAGTGGATTCATACCTCTGGTAAATAAAAATAAGCATTATTATTGCCAAATAAGATACTTCATTCATAACCTCAATAATATTCTGGTATTTTTCATCATGATGCCTCACAAGTACCACGAAAGAGAGTGATAAAACTTGAAGAAATGCGAAAACCAAAAGTTTGAGTGTAAGATCAGTCGACCTGAGCGCAACAATCACGATCACTATCAGTAATCTTCTTAAGAGGAACATAAAGTTATATAGTTGAGCAAATTTATTCTTTTTGAATCCTTCAAAAAGTTCATTGACATACTTGTTCTCATGTGGATTTTTCACTTTAAAAAGAAGAAAAGGTATGAGGCATATGAACAAGATAAGAAGAATAACTGATATAACACTTATGCCAAATGAAGTTGGATGATCTAGAACTTCAGATATTCTAGAGATCTCACTGACCGAGGCGAGGCATAGAAACAAGAAGTTTTCAACATAATATCTCAGATAGAATTTGAAATAAGCCAAACCAGTAAAACAACTGTAAACTTTTAGTCTATAAGATCTATTCTTTGTCTTACAGAATATTCTTAAAGGAGGGTGTAAAATAAGTATCAAGATTGTAAATCCAATTGGATAAGCAATAAGATCTAATCAATTGACAAAGGCACTCCCTGAATCATAATCATTTTCTCTGAACTCTTGATACGGATTTTCATAATCAAGATGTCCAATTAATCCCTCAAATATTGGCACAGTCTTTATATCAAGCAGGTTAATATTCAGAATACTTGTTTCAAGAGCTCTTATAGTCTGAACAAACTCAAACGGAAGCTCTGCTCTCAAAAATGGAAGAACTAGAAACAACTGAAACTGGTTAAACATCGTCCACATATTCTTCATTGTCCCTCCTGACAACCCCCCTGCCACTACTGACACCAAAACCCCACCTACAAGTCCAGTAATAACTAGTGCAGATTTTAGGTCGAGGGTTGTGGAGGGTTTGGAACAGGTTTTGGAGGTGGTGAGGGTGTAGCCTTCTTTACATGCAGTTCATTCAGAAGAGCTACAAGACTTTCAATTCAAAGTTTCTCAGGCTGATGAAGAAGATGATGGAGAAGGTAGTGGAGAAGGTAGTGGAGAAGGTGATGGAGAAGGTGATGGAGAACTTGGAGCTGCTTCCACATTTATTTGTACATTCCTTAAGAACTCTTTTCCATTAACAGTGCTTTTCCCTGTGAAGTAAAAAGATTGACCTCCAACAGAAGGTGGCACAATATAATCAACAGATAAAGAATCAGTATTCAGGGTTACCCAAACTGGAAGAAGCTCTCCATTTGAATGGGGATCAATCATAGAGTTAATTGTAGTTCATCAATCGATGGATCATGGAAAGAAGTTGGCTATAGTTCCAGTAGCATTCACTGTAATATTTAATACATGACTTCCTCCTCCAAAGATTACATCGCTTTCTTCTTTAAAATCATCAGTTGGAACAGGAGACGATAACACTAAGGAAACCATACTTGATGTTCCTGTAGTTACAGATAAAGGGGTAGTTAATAAGTAAGAAGTGGCATCATTAGAATAAGAATACCCAACTGAAGAAATAAAATAGTCATTTTTTGATTTTAAAGATACATCTGAGTTTTGTTCATAGATTCCGTTTGCAGCTAGTCTTGATATTGCAATGACAGATGTTGAGGAAGGAATTCCAGAGCCAATCAGAGTATGGCCTCCTGCTTCAATTATCCATCCTGGAGTGATTTCCTTGCTTCTGTAAGCGTTTGAAAATGTGTTAGTGAAAGGATCATATTCAATTTTATAGCCTCCATTATTGTATTTCATCACCACGAACACTTTATTGAATGAGGTTGAATATGTCATGCCACTGATTTCTAAGCCAGTTTGAGAGAAATCCGGTACATAGGATCCAACAAAAGCCCCATCAGCAAGGTTGCTTATGAATATAATTGGATTGGTATCCAAGAAATAACTAATTACTTTGCCATCAGATTGCAAAATTAGTGCGTTATTGGTCCCACTTAGAGTACATAAAGCAGGACATCCAAGATTTTTTGTCCATTGTTGAGTAGCTGTTTCGTATTCAGCTGAGAGCAAGCTGTAGGACTGAGTAGGGCTCGTTAATGAACCACTAATTATCATAAGTTCTTGTCCTGAACTTGTATATGAGTGGATGGAGTAAATCGAGTCTAAGCTTACTGGAATCGAAGTGATTGGTGTCGTTCCAAAATCATCATACCCAATTTTGAAAATATGAGGAGTGGATGAAACTGTTCCTGAGAGATAGATGTTTGAGTGGTCGCTCGAAAGAGTAAGAGAGTTGCAATCAGTGGCTGTTCCAACTTTGATTTCTTCGATAATTGAATTAGTTGAACTATCAAGCTTGACCAGAGAACACTCAGTGGGAGACTTCATTGCAACCACTAAGTGAGACCCAGATGAATGAAGAGCTATAGCATTCCTTGCAATCTTGTTTCCATCAAAATTCAGCACCCAAATTGAATTAAAATCAGAATCAAATTTAAAGATTCTCGCTTTTAGAACTGATAGAATAACGCCATTTACTGTCATATACACACAAGAATTATCAAGACAAGATATCCCATTTGTAACCTCTGTGTTGTCCAAGGAAGGGTATTTGAAGGAGAAGCTTTTGATCTTCATGGAAGTGTCTGTGCCAGCAGGGCATTGTGCTCAAAGGATCAGTTGTGTTAGTAGGGCAAGCCTATATCAATAATTATTCAACTTAGATGACCAGCTAATTTTTCCGTCCCAAGCATATCCCAACTATCCCACCCCTCCCTCCTTCCTAACCCTTTTCTCCCAAAATCCCCCAAAATCCCCCAAAAATCTCCCAAAATCCCCAAAGTTCCCTCCAACCCCACTAAATCCCCACCATCTCCTTCATACTCTACCACATCTGTCACCTCCCTCCCTGCTGAACTAGTTCACCTGCCGAAAATCAGCTCTAGTCTAAAATATTTAATCTTCTTCAAACCACCTGACTAAAACGTTCTCCTCTCCAAAGCCTCACGCTCCCATAAAACATCAATCTCCCCTCTAAGATCCCCAAAATTCTCTAACTCCCAACTTTCTTCATTAAAGCCCCTGTTTTTTACTCCCAAATTTTCTTATTTTCACGTTCAAAATTTTTGCTGAAATTTAGGAAAATAGGAGAACTTGAACGAACTTTTGGAGCAAAAGAGGCTGAGATTGGATGCGGTGGAATTTTGGGGTTGATAAGACGGTGGGTTAGGATGGAATAGTAGATGAGGATTGTAGCCAACTTTTTACTTGGAGTTTGTTGATGTGTTAGGAGAGATTTAAGATATCAGATGGAAGGGGAAGATTGCTGATTGTTGCTTGGTGAAAGATATGATGGATTTATGGGAATAAAGGATTCATAGTTAGGTACATAATGCTTCAATTTGTCAAAAGATGGTCAGGTTTAGTGTTAAATAAGAACAAAAAATTAATATAAATCGGTTCATTAAGAAGCTATTATTAATACAAACAAGAGGACATGGTCAATAGATTTTTAATAAGCAATAACTTAATTTTAGGTGCTCTTACCATATTACTATCATTGATTTTTTTAATATTTATTAACACATTCAGCCTTTCTCTCTTAAAATGGGGTTTTGGGGTTTTGGGGTTTTGGGGTTTTGGGG